GCCTGGCGCTTACATTTCAAAACTAGGTGCAAGCATCACAACCTCAGTGAGGCTCCAGAGGACCCTATCTTCCCCCCACAAAATGTCGATGCCCTGCTTTGTGCTCATCAGATCCCACAGATGCTCCTATTTGAGCACTTGATCACCTTTTGTTTATGTATTTACCTGTCTCTCTTTACGACCTGCAAGCCTCATGAGATCATCAGAAACTGGCTGAGTAAATTTGGTTGGATTTAATAAAAACCTACAAAAGGATGAGATTGACAGATGTCCAAGATAAAGATACACCGTTAAGCAGAAAGAACAAGCTGTGCGTGCGCGCACGCTTGTGTGTGTGTGTATGCACACGTACACCATTCATCACAGGAAATACCTGGAATAGTACATGAAATGTCAGCGGACACCTCCAGGGACAGAAAAGGGGGAAAGAGGAGGAAAAACTTACTCTTCACTTTCCAGCCTTTTGTAAAATGTTAAGTCATTCACACGGCATGTACTACATTTATATATTTTTTAAATGATTCAACAGTGATTTTTTTACAAGTCCATCATTTCGTCAATAAGCATTTTTTTCCTAGGAAAAAACCCAAACACCAATTTTAAACCCAAGTATAACTTAGGTTCTCTGGTATCCACAGAATGAAAGCCATTTTCAAATGCTTTCATGACAACTAAAACACTGAAAAGCATAGTAACAGAATCAGTACATTTTCTGAGTAGAAGTCATAGTTTTTTATTTTTTAATTTTTTAAAAATATTTATTTATTTGGGGCGCCTGGGTGGCTCAGTTGGTTAAGCGACTGCCTTCGGCTCAGGTCATGATCCTGGAGTCCTGGGATCGAGTCCCACATCGGGCTCCCTGCTCAGCAGGGAGTCTGCTTCTCCCTCTGACCCTCTTCTCTCGTGCTCTGTCTCTCATTCTCTCTCTGACAAATAAATAAATATTTTTTTATTTATTTATTTGAGAGAGAGAGAGCACGCAAGCAGGGGGAGCAGTAGACTCCCCGCTGAGCAGGGAGCCCGGATGAGGGACTCAATCCCAGGACCCCGGGATCATGACCTGAGCCAAAGGCAGATGCTTAACCGACTGAGCCACCCAGGCATCCCAAAGTCATAGCTTTTTAAATGGAAATATTACAGTGCTATTTAAAGCACTCCTAGGAAATTGATAACAACTATTTCTACATTATAAATTCTTCCATTTGCACAAAAATGGCCACTCTTAAGGAGGCGGTATCACAGATTGTTGGAAGCACAAAGCTGTCTGGCCTGAGCTAGAATCCAGGCTGCCTGAGTAGGGAAGCCTTGGCCAAATTCCACAACCCGCTTAGGCCTCAGTTTCCTCATTAGTAAAACGGAGTGACGCAGCCTGGCTAACGCAACTCTACACCAGTGCTTCCCAAGCACCTCTGAGTGCAAGAGAAGACTCCTTTTTTTTTTTTACGATTTTATTTACCTATTTTTCAGAAAGAGAGAGCACAAGCAGGGGGAGTGGCAGGAAGAGGAAGAAGCAGGCTCCCCGCTGAGCAGAGAGCCCCATGCGGGACTCCATCCCAGGACCCCGAGATCATGACCTGAGCCGAAATCAAGAGTCAGACACTTAACCGACTGAACTACCCAGGCGTCCCGAGAAGATTGCTTTATGTGGCTACACAGGCAAACGTGCTTCACGTGAACGACACTCACTTATGACCTAAAGTTCAGGCCAACGTGGGTGGCAGCCACGTCAAACTATGACAATTACAGGTGCCCGCTGAGAAGTCTAATCCTTAGTAACGGAAACTTTACCAATGCTGTTAAGATGTACAGAGAACATCGAAAACTTGCATTAGTTCCACCTGTAGCCAGTAAGAGTGGGGAGAATGGGAAAAGAGAGGCACCCCTTGCACAATCATGGCACAAACTATGCTTGCAACACACACCGTTCACAGGCCCTGAGACCACCAAGCAACTGGCCAGCAAGGGTCCTGCCACCTGGAGCTTAGGAAGCAGCCAGGGCAGCACTGGCCACCTATTCCACCTATCCTGAACCACAGATGACAGAGTCTAATACCTGAGCCATAGGCACATAGGTCCAAATACATAACTTTTGTTGACTGATTAGACTTCAGTCTAGTAACTTTTTCTTTTTTTTTTTTTTTGGCTTCTAAATGACATATAGCAACCATCTGTTCAGGAGAAATTACCTTGATTTTTCTTTCATAATTGCCATATAAGGTCCCCCGACACAAGATTAAGAAACACGGCCATAAGCCAGCCACTGCAGATTCTGTTCCCATTCATGGTACCAAGGGACGAGCACTGGTTGAGCAAAGCTGACACCACCTTCAGCTCTCTCCCAACCACGAGGCCCTCCGGCTGGGTCAACTTTACCACTTCAGTTCTTGCACCTTTTCTCAATGTACTTTTCATTACTTGTACCATTATTTAAAACCACAGAAAACATCGCACCTGGAACATCTATGAATGGAGTATGTTGAGTTTCTGATGAAATAATAATTATTAAAGCAAAATGTATATAGTCTCCTATCACTGCCTCCTCCAGTTCTTATTCTGAATATCCAAGCTACAGAAAAGTTAATCTCTTAACAAAGAAGAAACAGAGACTACAAAGTAGAAAGGCAACTGGAGCCTGCACACAGTGCTGGTGGAATGTACAACAGCACGGGTGCTTTGGAAAACCGTTTGATGGGTCTTCAAAAAGTTAAACATAGCGGGGCGCCTGGGTGGCTCAGTCAGTTAAGTGTCTGACTCTGGATTTTGGCTCAGGTCATGATCTCAGGGTCATGAGACAGAGCCCCTCGTTGGGCTCCGTGCTGGGCATGGAGCCTGCTTAAGATTCTCTCTCTCCCTTTGCCCGCCTCACCCCTCCAGCTCGTGCATGTGCTGGCTCTCTTAAAAAAAAAAGTTAAACACAAAAGTATCATATCATCCAGCAATTCCATTCCGCTGCATATATCCAAGAGAAATGAAAACATATGTTCACACAAAAACTTGTACTAGAATGTTCAGAGTAGCATTATTCATAAAAGCTGAAAAGTTCACTTTTCAACCCAAATAAATGTCCATCAACAGATGAATGGGTAAATAAAAGATGGCCTATCCATACAATGGAATATTACTCAGCCATAAAAAGGAACTAGGAACTGATACATGCTACAGGTATGAACATTATGCTGAAAAACATTATGCTAAGCAAAAGAAGCCAGTCACAAAAGGCCATATATATGAAATTTCCAGGATAGGCAAATCCATGGAGACAGAAAGCAGATCTCTGATTGCCAGGGGCTGAAAGGTAAGAAGGATGAGGGATATCTGCTAATTGGTACAAGGTTTCTTTTTGGGTGGATCAAAATGTTCTAAAATTAGATGGTGGTAATTATTTGAGCAACTGTGAATATATTAAAACCACTGAATTCTATACCTTAAATGGGTAAATTCTATGGCATCTGAATTACATCTCAATAAAACTGTTATTAAAAAAGAATATAAAGTAGACTCATAAAGCTTTCAATTAGAGTTGTCAATTATTAACACTTCGCCCTATTTGCTCTCTCTCTTCTCACGTGCATGCACACACAATCTGGTTGGACTATTCAAAATTCAGTTATTGTCATACTTTACTCCTGAATACTTCAGTATGTGGACTATTCTCCTACATAGCATAGCCAAAATACAAATATCACACTAGGGAAATTCAATACAAAGCTATTATTTAATATATAGCCCATACCCAAACTTATTTCTCAAAAATTATGCACTGTATTTGGTTGTCATATCCCTCTAGTTTCTTTTAATCTAGAAAAATTCCTTTTTCATGACATTCACATTTTTTAAGAATGCAGGCCAATTATTTCAGTGTTCCTCAATTTGGAAATGCCTGATTGTTTCCTTATGAATTGATCTAAGTTGAACCTTTTTGGTAGGAATACTACATAAAAGAGTTGTTCCCTTTTCAGCACATCAGGCCAGACCCTCTATGATCATGCCAGAACATACTGTCAGCAGTATCATTAGTGGTGACAGTGAGGTCATGCTCACTGTTGAGCGTGGCTAGACTCGTGATGATCTGATTCCTCCATTAGGAAGGTAGCTTTTTCCCTCTAAAATTAATAATTTGGGAGGTGACCATTTGAGTCTGTGTAAACATCAGGTTTCCCCAGAAGTGTTGCACTCAAAAGGGTTTAGCATCTGTTCATGATCTTTGCCTGCCTGGTATTCAATCCCTTTTGAGACTGCGCTGCATTTATGGGACCAACCACTACTCTCAATTTTATTCCAGTGTGAGCTAGCTGTGATTTCAGCGCTGGCTGCACATTACAATGGTATCTTTGGGAGTGGGACCCGGGCAATCATACTTTAAAATTCCCAGGGTGACTGATTCTGATGCAGAGTAGGGTTGAGCTACAGGAACCTTGCATCATCCGCGTTTTGCAAATAAGGAAACTGAGGCCAGAGGAGGTTAAATGATTGGAGAGTAGCACAAAACTTGTTAATGCCGTCATCAAGATTTTTATTTTTTTGTACTTGCATTTTAATATGCCATGCCCTCTGTACATCATTCAAAGAGTAAAAAAACGAATAACTTTTCCATGGTGTTAGAGCTGACCGGACCCTGAAGGGCGTATTTTTTTTTTTCAAGGCGAATTCTGCCTTTCATTCATTAAGACCTCTGCAGTCACGTCGGGAGTGAGGGAACGGGGCATGTGGACACCAAGCTCCTCCGCCCTCAATGGACAGCTCAAGCTCTGGACCCAAGGCCGAGCGGATGTTCAAAGGGCCAGCGGTTAAAGCTGCAGCTCAGGCGCCGGCCCCTCGGCCCGTACGCCCGAGGACGTGGCGGGGACTCCGCCCGGGGTCCTCCGAAGGGCTGCGGGCGGCGCGCGGGGCACACCTGGCGGGGACCCACCTGGCGGAGCGCTCTGCCCGGCCCAGGGACACCCAGAACTGCGCGGGGCCCTGCAGACGACGGACCCTGCAGACCCGCCCACCCTACTTACCCCGGCGTGATAAACCTTGTTCGCTCTCTTAATCTTAATGTCCAGGGAGGTCCCCATTTCGATACTCGGCTGAGGGCGCGACTTCCTGCCGCGCGTGACCCGAGGGGAAGGCGAGTCGCCCCGCCCCTCCGAGCCTGGCCCCGCCCCCTTTCTCCTCGCCGCCTGCAGTCGTTTCAGGAGCTCTCGCTCCCCATTCCAGATCGACTCTCCCGCCTTCCTTTTTCCGGTGCAGGGGCGGGCCTTAGCGCAGGCCGAGAAGCTGTCACCCTTCGCCCCGCCCCTGCCGGGCGTGAGGGGCGGAACCAGGCCGGCCCCACCCTTTCCGTAAAGACGGTCTTACCACCGGAAATATCCTCCTCTCCCTCGTTTACTGGAGGGTGGGAGAAAACGGCTCTCTCCCAGCGTGCCCCGCGGTGGTGGGCGGTGCCGAGCCCGCAGCACGGGCCCTGCTTGTGCCGGGAAGGTGAGGCTCCCGTCAGGCTGTGCGGTGCACAGGCGCTGCGCTATGGAGTTGGCGTTTAGGCCGTCATAGCTTGTGACTGTGTATCCGCCCCACTCTCCCTCCTCTCGTCATCTCTAGTCCTCCACCAGTCTCTCCCGGGGGCTCTGAAGACCAGCGTCCTCGGCTCTGCGGCGCTAACCCCCCTTCCCGCGGCCTCGCGCTCCGGGCCCGCAAGGCGCCGAATGGCGGGCGGCCCGGCCGGCCCGCCTCCGCCTCTGCCGCCGGGCCGGGGGCCAAGGTCTCGGGGAGCGCCGGGTGACCTCGCCCCGCTCCGAGCCACGGCGCTGGGTCCCCGCAGCCCCGGGGCCGCGGGGGCTTGTGGGTACTTCCCCGGCGCGCGCCCTGGAACGCGGTACTGAATATTCATGTCGGTGCGCAGAATGCGGGAATGCGCGGCCCGCAGGCCCTGGGTCCCGGCGGCCCGTGGATGGGAGAACCTCGGAGCCGGGGCGGACTTGCCGAGTCTCCTTTTCATTCCCGGCCAGAGCCGATTGAACCAGACGCAAGACATTAGCTTGGTTTGGGCGGAGACTTGCCTCCAGGCAGGGCAGCAATACAGTGCTAGGCAACACACTGCTTTGACTGAAATAAAATTGCTTGTAGATGTTTTAAACCAGGACTTTTGCAATAAGCAGATAGGTAAATTTTCGTTATTTTGGTAACTGACAGTGCGGTGAAGAAGTGCTTTTTGTTTTTAAATTCCTTAGTTCTGATGTCTGTTTTAGAGTGCATCACTTTTAGGATTACATTAGAAATTTTCTGTAAAACAATTTCATGAGTCAGTATCACCGGTGGCTCCCTCTTGAGAATTTAAGCATTTTATAGGACGACAGTGATGATGCTGTAGCTACAATTGCTTTTGAAGGGTGCTACAAGATGGTATTTCGCAATATTCAGGTCTCCGGTTTCAGCTCCTTCCTCTCTGCCCTCAGGGCTTCAATCTCTCTTGGATGTCTTCCTGCAACCCAAACTCAGTAATTCTAAAACAATTCATTAGGGATTTAATAATCACAGTCTAGTCTACTTGCAATTCAGGAAATGAATCCCTCTCCACCAGACTCACCCATCATTTCCATTTGGTAAAATATCAATCTCTGTAGACAATGCAGGGAAGCAGGAAAAGAAACAAGGATCCACATTCTAGACTTGTTTGCTCAGCAAACGTGCTTTATACTTAGTTTACAACAGAATATTTCTTGTTCCTTGAGGTCAGGTACGCTATGTTTTACTCATCTTTGTAGGTTGTACACAATCTTTATGGAATGCTAGTGCAGGGCAAAGAGGTTTTATTCCAGCAATTATCAGTGTAATCAGTTTCTGAGCCCTCTCTGTGTGATGGCTTCCAAACATGAGACAGTCCAGTTTTCTCCAATCACTGCTCTTTTGAATCTTTTGAATCCCATCCCTTAACCACACCTTAGACCATACCCCTAACTTTCTGGTCAATTTCAGTTAGTAAAAATCAGACTATGTCAAAGTGCCAATCTCATGACTTCAGTGGGAGACCAGATCCTTAGTGGGGGTGGGAAGGTTCGAGTCATGGTTCTGGCTCTTGGACACTTCATCCTCTTCAGGCCTGGCATCTGTGTTGAGGCAAGCATCGCTTAACTGGCCTCTGCCCAAAGTTCTCTCTTAATTGGTTCCTGCTTGTATGGATAACTGACCCTTGCTTGAAACTTTGAGGGGACACATATGAGAAGGCCTTGTGGGCCTTTTCCCTTCCATACATTTCCATGGGAGATTGAGCTCCAGCTTGATCTTTTCCATCACCCCCTGTTGAGGGTTCAACAGGCAGCTCAAGACGGTCTATCTTCCACGGGGTCCACGTGACTCATGAGAAATACACAAACTCACCACACAAAAGGGCTGGACTGGAAGCTGCCCCAAGGCCTCTCCTCTCCACCCTGTTTCTCTTCAATCTTCTTGCTGTCTCCTGAAATGCAGACAGGAATAACTCCGCAAGAATGCTGACCAGACAGATTTGCAAGGAGTGACTGGAAGACCTTGCCTTCCAGTGGGCCCAGCCAATACCAAGGAGAGATTCCCTTGCAGCCTCCCCCTCTACATCACTTCCCACAAGAAACATTGCACTCTCACGAGGCCAACTGCCTTCTTTATTCTTTCCTCTCCCTCCCTATGTAGAATGAAACGGAGAGGATTGGTAAGTATTTGATGGAAGCAGGGCGTGATCTGCAACTTTTCATTAATCCGCGGGAAAGTGGCTCCAATTGTAGGCATCTTTCACCAAAAGGTAGAGCACTATGCTTATTTCAGCTGTGAGCCTAATTCCCATTTCAGGACAGTAGGAGAGATCCCACTAAACATCTTTCAGTGGAGGCTGTGATGCTCTGCCCAGACTTTTCAGGACTGAGGGACATGTTCCTGAGCTGCTGAGAGTTTTGCTCTCAAGAGCTGTCAGCTCAGTCACTCTTCACAACTTGCCCTTAGGTGAAGAAAACTGCTTTGCCCAAAGTCATGGTCCTTTGGGGCTGGGGGGGAGGTTTGGGGGACAGCCCACATCTAATGACCAGTCAATTTAGGATATAAAGACCTCTTCCCCTCAGCCCACTTTGGAACAACTCTGAAGGACAAGTCAGCTCCCTATATTAGTTATCTATTGCTGTGTAAAAAATTACCTTCAACAATTAGTAGTTTAACACAACAAACATTTTTAATCTCATAGTGTCTGTGAGTCAGGAACTCAGGAGCAGCTTCCCTGGGTAGTTTTGGCTCCAAGTCTCAGGTGGTCACAGCCAAGATGTTAGACAAGGCCACAGTCATCTGCAGGCTGGATTGGGCTGGGGTCCACTTCCAAGATGGCACCCTAATGTGGCTATGGGCTGAAGCCCTCAGTTTCTCACTGTCCACAGGCTGCTTGGGAGTCTTCACAGCATGGCACTCTGCTCCCATTGGCTGGGGAGCCTTTGCTGTGATTGCATTACAATTAAACTTCTTCCTCTGCCCAACCCAGTCCTGCTTGCTTCACCTCCACCCCCACATGTGTTGATCTGGAGCGTACCCCCTAATATATTTCCTGCACATTAATCTCCATCTCAGGGCCTGCCCCCCTGGCAACCCAACCTTCAACAATCCTGTCACACCAGCTTCCTGACTTAACTCCTCTGAGCCTCTGTAAAATGATCTCAGTACCTTCATTATAAAATTGACAGGATTCATCATGACTCACATATATGTTAAGTACTTGCTGTGGGCCAGGCACTGTTGTAAGCTCTTTAAATATTTTAATTTGTTCTATCCTTATAAGGACAACTACAGCTCCCTCACCTTTCGAAAGGGAAAAACTGAGGCACAGAAGGATTAATGGACTCGCCCAGAGCCATGTAGTAACTAAATGGCAGCCACCCATTTTGACCAGAGCTCACATGTGCAATCACCAATCACCATGCTCCATATGTGCACATGACAAATGTCTGGGCTTAGCGCAAGGGGACACAGCGTCTTAATGAAAAGACCGGACAAAGGATTGCCAATCAAATGTAAAAATCAAGCAGAGGTACAACTTAGAGGCAAAGGCAATTTTACAGAAACTGATAGTGAAGACACACCGTAAGAGCCATAGGAGAGTTGTATGGCATATTAGCTTACTGGGGCTGCCATCACAAAGTACTGCAGATGAGCAGCTGAGAACAACGAACACTGTTCTCTCTTGCTTGGTTCTAGAGACTGAGGTCTGAAAACAAGGTGTCAGCACGGTCAGGGTCAGTTCCTTTCAAGGGCTACAAGGGAAGATTCTGCTTCCACCTTTTCTCCATGGCTTGCAGATGGCTGTCTTCCTCTGTAACTCTTCACTTCGCCTTCCTTTTATGTGTCTTCATCTTCACATCACGTTCTCCCTGCATGGGCATCTCTCTCCAAGTGCTCCCTTTTTATAAGGACACAGTCTTATTGGCGTAGGGCTCACACTAATGACCTCGTTTTGACTTGATTACCTCTGTAAAGACCCTCTTTCCAATTACAGTCACTGGGGGTTAGGACTTCACAATATGAATTTGGTGGGGACACAATTCAACCTGTAATATATAACAACAGTATAGACAACAAAAATATTTAGATAAATGGACAGTTAGTAGAAGATTTTAACACAACGCAATCTGTCAGAGATTGAGTGCATAAACAATAAAGGCATAGAGGATTTTAACAAAGTAATTAAGAGATACAATTAAATATAATGGAATCACAAATATTCACCTTTTCAAGTGTCTGTATGCATTTATAAGCATTGATTGCATACTATGCCACAAAGATAATCTCATATGCAATTAACTAAGTACAGTCCAGATCCTTTAACCACCCAAATTTTAACTATTTAGAAATTTAGACAAACTCCCCCAAATACATTAGGTCAAGGAGCAAATAAAAATACAGTAACCAACTAAAAATAAGAAAGTGTGAATGCTTCATACCAAAGCCTGTGGGATATATCAAAGAAAAAATCCCCTGAAAAATTATTAGAAAAGACTTTAAATATTTGGCCACAGTGAAATGACATGATATGTGGATTTTGTTTTAAATTAACTCCAGGAGGAAGGGAAGGAAAAAGGAGAGAGGAGGTGTGGTTGGGGCAGGGCCACAGGTGAGAGATGTTGATAATTATTGAAGCTGAATGTGATGGGGACATGGAGCTTTATTATACTATTCTCTGTGCTCTTCTGTATGTTTGAATTCCGTAATAGAAGGAGACAATATTGTTGAAATATTAGCCAAGGTATTTTTTTAATGTCCTGTAATTCCTAGTAGGCACCCCCCCAACTTTCCCTCCATCAAATTTATGCCCTGGATCACGAAATGTGTGATAAAGAGCACTTTGCCAAAGACATGACATGTGTCTGATCTAGAGGAAAAGGCACAAAAAGAGAGCAGAGCGAAGTACATCTTGGGGTAGGGTCTGGCTGCCTGTCATCTGGAGTCACCATCCCAGTTGAGGATGGGAATGGGCCAGGCTATAGAAAAGGACAGAAAAAGGCAGAGGGCCTGAGAGAAAGAGCAGAGGATTAGAAGACCCTG